TCCTGCCCACCGGCCGCTCTGCTTCCCCCGGAGCGCAGTGTGGCGTGTTCCCAGTAGAGGGCGCGGGAGAGACACGCCGGAGGAAGGGGCTCTGCTTGCCGGTTCCCCCCCCACCACCTCCACCCCCCTCACCCCGCCGTCGCCCATCGCCGCGCTGCGCTGGGGCGGGGGTGGGGGGTGCCGTCTGAGGACACGGAGGGTTAAGCCCAGCCCCGAGTTTACAGCGCAGGCCTGAACTCCAGGAAGGGAGGGGGCCCTTCCAGCTCGCCCTCTGCGGACCTTCCTCAGCCCCCCAGCCCCCCAGCCCCCGCACCGTTCACGTCTCCCACCCGCCTATTCGGAGTCATCCCCCTTTACAGCAAACAACGGTCCCTGTGTAAAACTGCTGGAAAACCTGTCTGCTGAGTGGGCACAGTGTGCGCATGTCAGTGTGTGCACGCGGGCGCGCCGGGGCGCTTGCGCTCCGGCGCCTGAGCAGTGCGGCCGGACCGCAAGGAGCAGCGGGGTTGCTGAGTCCAGGGGCCAGAGAAGGGAGCGGAGGCTGGGCTGGGGGACGCAAGCGCTGCGAGCACGCTGACCGCAAGGCAGGACAGAGCTGGACGCTGCTTGCCAGGCCTTGTCCTGTGGCTCTTCCTGCACGCCCGCCGTTGGGTCTCACAGCAGACCCCCCAGTTGCTTGTCCCATTGCACCCGGAGGCACCCTGGTCTGCACCCCCATCATGACCCCGCCCCCACCTCCGAGGTCCCCTTGGTGTCAGGCCTCACCTCAGGGACCTTCGGCCCTTCTCAAGGATGTGGTATCACCGCCCCGTTCTCTGGAAGAGGACACTGGGCGTCAGGGTGGCCCAGTGCTTTGTCCACGGCCACAAGGCCCGCAAAACCGGGTCTGAGACACCACGTGACACCTGGCCCGGCCCGGGCCAATGGGGTCACACGGCTCACCTCTCCTGGGTGGACGCGTCCCCGGCAGTGACACCCAGTCTCCTTGGGGCCCAAGACGCGCGGGTCAGAGCACCGTGCAGGGAGACCAACGGCGGAGGCGGGACAGGTGGGTCCGCCCACACTATCCCATCCCCCCACTGCCTGGACTGTAACAAAACCCAGGCTGCTGCGCGGCTGAGGAGGCAGCACCCAAACCCTCGGTCACCACGGCAACGGGCTGGTATTTCATCCGCGTGAAGACCGACAGGGTCACGGTTCACTCCAAGCATCACGGAGAGACAGTGGCCGAGCTGGTCTGTCCTCGCCGGCCGGGGCCCGCCCAGCCGCAAGTACTAGGGACCCATCTGTGCCCTCCGAGCCGGCCTCCCCGGCTTCCTAGACCTTCTGCCCAGAGACTGAGCTGGCGGCGCCAGGCGGGGGTGGCTGGACGCCCGGCTTTGCTCATAAACTTCTCCAGGGTCAGGGAGACAGGCCTGGGGGCAGGGAGCAGCGAGGACTCGTGCTGGGACCGGTCCTGGCTGGGGCGGCGGAGGCCTCACCCCCCCGCACCTGGAGGGGTGGCTGGGGCTGTCCTCTCGAAGGCACGGCGACAAAACGCAGCCGGGGCACCAAAGATGTTCGTGTTGCTGTCTCATCCTTTCACTTCCGGGACTGCGTTTTAAGGGAAGAGCCACAAAGCAAGCACCTGTGCCTTGCACAGGTCTGCCCGGTTCTGGGCGGGGTTGCAGCTGGGAGGTGACACTGGCTGGCTGCAGCGCGGAGGCGGGGTCCACCGCGGCTCCGCGTGGCCTCTGAGCTCTAACGTTGCATACCCACACATGCACACAGACACACAGGGACGTGTACACACGCTGGCACCCACACGACCCTCATCCAGGCCAGGAGAGACGAAGGCGGGACCCTTGCCTGGTGTCCCCAACAAACCAGCACAGGGCCCAGCAGAAGACTTTGGACCCTGCGGCCTCACAGCCCAGCTGTGTCTAGCACCCTTCTCCTGGGAAAGCACCCAGCTGCCCCAGGGGAAGAAGGTCCCCTGTGACTTTGTCACCCAAGGTCAGGAGCCTCCAGTGGGCAGAGCTCAGGCTGCCACTCCCAAGGGACAGCCAGCCATGTCCAGAGGTAGCACACGGCGCCGGCTGGACCCTGACACCGCCCGCCCTGGCAGAGCCGCTGGAGCCGACACTGCGTTCAGGAGGGGCCCTCACTGGCTCTGTACAAGTCCTGCCCGATGGGGAAGGTGCGGGCGGCTGCCGCCGGGGCACACGCCGCGCCTCCCCGGGCTGCGCAGCAGGTCCCCAGGCACCTGGGGGGTGTTCTTGCTGCTGCTGTGACAGCCGTCACCTTGAGGAAGCAGTGGGGTCCTGAGCAGACGTGACCCCCCCGCCGTGTGAGGCCACGGCCCACACGCTGCACCTGCCACACGCAGCAGCCGCCCGGGGCACTCTGCACGGCGTGGCAGGGTGTCCGCTCCACGCGTCGGTGGCAGCCTCCGGGCAAGGGGAGCTGGCGGTAAATGCCCCGGCCCCTCGCTCCTCCAAGGGACAATTCAGGGGTGCCTTCCACACGCGCTGCAGGAGTCCCTGCTGGGACCGGGACCCGGTGCCCCAGGCCAGGAGAGCACCTTGTCGGCTCTGCCTCCTTCCTCCACTTTCCCTACACCTGTGCTCCTGCTTCTGGCCTGGCACCCCGGGGCTGGGCCGAATAGCACCCCCCAAAATGCACGTCCACCCCAAACCTCAGAATGGGACCTTATTGGCAAATAGGGTCTCTGCAGCAGCTATTAGTTAAAATTAGGTCCTCCTGGGTGGAGGGGCCCTGAGTCTGAGGACGAGAAGAGAGGACACAGAGGACAAGGCCACGCGGCTCCGGATGCAGAGGCAGGCGGGGCGTCGGCCCGCCGAGGGACGCTGGGCGCCCTGGCGGCGGCAGGAGGCGGGGGCTGGAGCCCGGGACAGGGCCCCCTCGGACAGAGCTGCGCCCCCCACACCAGAGCATGCGCTTTGGCCCTCAGGCCTCAGAGACAGTGATCTGCGGCACGTCCTGACGGCAGCCCGGGCGCAGGTGCCGTTCCCCAAGTAAACTCTGAGCCCAGCCCCCGTCTCCGGCTCTGCGGCCGAGGGAGCCCAGCTGACGCGCCCAGGTGTGGCGAGCGCTCCGCCTGCCGCGGTTGCAGAGGAGGGTCAGCGCTCGGGCTGCCCAGGCTGCAGGGAGAGAGGGGTCTGGGGCGCCTTCCCCTGACCCTCCGGCCCCTCCGGCTCGGGGGAGGGCTGTCCCGGCTCTCAGGGAAGCGCCGAGTCTCCGCTGACAACGTGCACTCCAGCCCCAGCCAGGGAGCCCGGACAAGGCGGCCTGGCCCCCAAAGACGACCCTGAGGGAACAGGCGCCTGGGGGGCCCGGCGGCAGGTGGCCCGGCCCAGGCCCCTCCCGGGCCAGCTCCGCTCAGCTGCGAGCCCGGCCCCGCCCCGGCCTGCTGCTGCCATCACACCAGAATAGAACGCGTGTTTAAAAAGCAGCTTTTCCCGTCCCTTTTCCTGCCCCGTAAATACACAGCAGAAATAGCAGCCTGCAGGCTGGAGGCAGTGACGGCTGGTGGCGAATCAGGCGAAGGCCCCCACCCGGGTGGGCCTCGCCGCGTGGGTGCTGCAGGCAGCACAAAGCTGGCTTTAAATAGCTCCTCGTGGGCTCCAACTGCTGGAGGAGGGCAGCCTGCAGGCCCGGGGGCGGGGGGGGGGGGCTGGGGCGGGCAGGGTCCCGCGCAGCCCGGCAGGCTCGCTGACCTCGGCACCCGGCCGGGAGCCCCTACGTGTCCCCGGAGGCCCGGCAGCAGCCCCAGGGCAGGGCCCCGGGCGCCAGGATGAGGGGTGGTGCCCGCGGTTGTGACCCAGCTTGGCAGCTGCAGGGCCACCCCAGGCCAGCCCGGGGAGCAGTGGCCCTGCGCTGGGTCACACAGACAGGCGGGGCCAGGCTGGGGCGGGGGCGACCGGGCTGCCGCGGCTCCCGCACGGCCCGTCCTTGCTTTGCTGGCTTGGCCTGGCCTGCCTCCCCCTGCTGTCCGGAGGTGGCCAGGAGCCCCAGCTGACCCAGATCCAGCTGCGCCGTGCCTGGGCCACCTGCTCTCTGCTTGCTCCCAGCGCCTGGCCACACAGGAGCCCTGAGACCCTGCTCCCTGGCCCCTCTCCACCCCCAGGTGACCCTGCAGCCTAGTCCCTCAGCAGAGTCTGAGGCACAGCGGGGTGCGAGGACGGGTCTTCGGGGGGGCGGGGGCCTCCCTGCTGGAGCCGGGCTGGAGGCGAAGGCAGTGAGCCCCACTCCGTGGCTGGGGCCAGGGGGCCAATGCCCGCCTCTCCCCTCGGACAGGGGCCAGTCCTTTGGGGAGCAACCAGGCCCTGGGCCCCTCTGCCCGCTGAGCCCTCTGTGGGTGAGCGTGCGCCCAAAGAGCGCCGTGGACCCCAGGGCAGGTGGCCCAGCAAGGGGCCCTTTCTGGTTCACGCCAGGTCTCTGTCATGCTCCCCTCGAGGCGGCCTGAGGTGGGGCCCCCAGGAGGGGCACCGTGGGGCCAGCAGGGCTGTGGCCTGGCTGCCACCCTGGGCACTGGGCACGGCGCCAGGCTGGCCACGCCCGCCGGAGCCGCACTCCGGCCGCGGCTGAAGCTGCTCCTCTAATGGCGCACCGTCAACCCCCACTGGGGCCTCGCGACCCCCCCCCGCCCCCGCCCCATGAGGACCTGCCTGTCGGATCTCCAGGGACCAAGGGTGGCTGAGCTGTGGCCTTGTCACCCACGTGCTCAGAGGCCGCAGAGGGAAGGGGCTGGAGGTGTTTGTGGGGACTCAGTGGCACCTGACCGTGGGACCAAGAGACCAAGGAAGCGCCGTGACTCCTAGAGGCCACCCCGACCTCTGCCCCCCCACAGACACCCTGGACGTGGCCTCCGGCTGAGACCCTGGGGGCCGCCCCCGAGCCCCTCGGTCCTGCGCCCAGCGCGCCCGCGGCTGGCGGAGGGCCCCCGGCCCCCAGGAGAGGGGCCGCAGTGCCGCTGCGGTGGCAGAGAACGTCCCGCCAGCCAAAGGCTTTGCTTTATTTCATGCTGGGACCAAAGGCCCATGCACCTTTGTCTCCACCTTGTCACCAACGTGACGAGCACCGTCCACGCCTGGCCTTGTCCCTCCTGCCAGGCTCAGTCCCACAGAGCAGGCCCTGGAGCCAGGCTCACTCTGCGAGTCCCCGACGTGCACAGGCCCCCAAGGGCCCTGCGCGCACCGGGCTCGGCCGCGGGGTCAGCCAGCTCTGCTGCGGGGGAGGGGGAACTGGCTGGATGTCTCAGGAGAGGCGGTGGGAGGGCCCGGGGGTGTCCGTCGAGGTGGGGACAGCGCCGCCCCTGAGGAGGCCGAGGCTTTCCTCCCGCTCTTGCCCCGCTGGAAACCTCACGGAGCGGCCGGTCCAGCCCAGTGTCCACTCTCCCTGGAGGCGTCGGCCCGCCGAGGCCGGCCTCACATGGTGTAGGCCGCCCAGTAGATGACGTTGACAGCCGCAAAGGCGGCGGGGAACACGGCGCGGGCGTACATGTCGATGGTGTCCGCGTCGATGGGCTTGAAGAGCGCGCGGAGGCCCCCCGCGCGGGCGGCCCCCTGCTTCCGGGCCTCCCCCGTCTCCACCTCCACCGACCGGTAGGAGCCCAGGAGGTTCCCGGGCAGGCGGCTTGGCCGGTGGGACGCCGCCAGCTCCTGGGAGACCCCGGCCGCCGAGAGCGAGAACAGCACAATGGCGTTCCTCACGTCCATCTGCCGGGAGGGCGGGGCAGGGCTGAGGGCCACCCCACGGACCCCGCCCCGGGCCGGCAGGCAACAACCAGGGAGTTGGGAGGCAGGTGTGTCCCCAGAGCAGTGGGCAGAGGGTCCTGAGCTGAGCTCTGGGAACAGTGGCCGCCTCCCCCTGTGCTGGGTGTGGGTGTGGGTGTGAGTGGCGGGGTGGGGGTGGCTGTCCTTGGTGCTGGGCCCCGGAGACCCGGCCTGGCCCACCCTCACCTCTGCCTTCTGCTCCATGACCTTGACCTTGGCCTTTTGCTTCTTCCGGTAGTCGGCGTTGAAGTGGGCAAAGGCGTACTCCACCAGTGCGGCAAACACGAAGACGTAGCAGATCCAGAAGTACACGTCCAGGGCCTTGATGGCCGACGCCCGCGGCAGGGAGGAGCGGGCGCTGACCATCAGGGTGGTCATGGTGAGCACCGTGGTGATGCCTGCGAGAGGCACGGGGTCACCTTGGCGCCCGCTCTCCCCGGCCGGGGGCAGGCCGGGCTCCTGTGACCAGGCCTGGCCCTGCGGCCCTCGGCCCCGCCCGGCCGGCTCGAGGGGCTGGGGGCAAGGCCTGAGGTCACGGCCCACGCGCCCCGGTCCTGCTCCCGGCCCCCGCCCTTCCACCAGCGACCCGGCGGGGTGGTCAGGCCGGTACCTAGAGACACCCTGGCGGGGACGGCGGCCTGGCTGATCCAGAAGGAGACCCAGGACATGGCGACCAGCAGGACGGAGGGCATGTAGGACTGGATGATGTAGACCCCCCGGTTCCTCCGCAGGTGGAAGTACAGGCTGAGCCGCGGGAACTGGCCGGCTGCGGGCAGGACCCGTCAGGCCCCGCCCTGCCCCGCCCTGCCCCGCCCGGCCCCGCCCTGCCCCGCCCCGCCCCGCCCCGCCCCGCCCCGCCCCGCCCCGCCCCGCCCCGCCCCCGCGGCCACGCTTAGAAGGAAGGCAGGCCCTAGACCCCATCCCCTCCACCTCCCCCCACAGCCTGGCGGGCCAGGGGTCTCCCCAGCCCCGGGCCTGGCCTTCAGGGAGAGGCTGCCCTGCCTCGGGGCCGCCCAGAGGGAGGCGAGGAGGCAGGGTCCCCCACCGTCCCCACACGGGCCCGGGGCCCCCCTCTCCTGACCCGCCGCCACGCACAGCCAGGCCCCAGGAAAGAGCAAGGCGGGGCCCCCCGGCCCCGGTGACGGGGCAGGAGGGGCCAGGACACTAGGCAGCCCCGCAGGCTTGGACCCTGAACCCCTGCAGCGCTGGGGTTCAAGGAGCACCTCACACGCCTCGCGTTGCCCCCAAATCCAGCGCGCTGCTAGCCCCCGGGAAGCGACAGGGGACTGAGAAAGAGGCGGAGAGGAGCTGGCCCCTGCCCACACTGTGCAGCCTGCGCCCCCGCTGCCCCCGCAGGGCCCTGGAGCCGGGCGGGGCCCAGCTGAATGCCCACGGAAACCCGGAGCCCGCGCCCAGGAAGGGGCCCCACGAGGCCGCGCTACCCGACTTGGAGTTCGTCAGCTCCGTGGCGAAGCGGTAGCGGGTGATGGTGAACTGGGCCAGCTGCAGCTTGTCCAGCCCATGGATCTGCTCCTGGTTTTCTGACCAGTAGTAGACGATGTCCTCGGACGAGTAGCCGTCTGCGGGAGAGCCCAGGTGGGCGGCGGAGTCCAGTGCCCTCAGCCCCGGCCGCCCCCGGGGGCCCGACCCAGCAGCAGCAGCGCCAGGAGCCAGGAGGCTCGGGCCCGTCGACGGGGCCAGGGGAGCGGACAGGAGCGCAGGTCACCGCTGCCCAGTGACCCGCAGGGGCCGCCGCCGCGGCCTGGCTGTCCAGGGCAGGGCGCTGACCCGAGGGGGCGGGCCGCTGCTTAGGCCTCGCAGCCCCTCCTGCCCCCGTCCAGGCCTCCCGCCCCACGGACGCCCCGTCCCAGGCGCCTCCCGGCCCCGAGCCAGGCCCCCGCCCGCCCGGGGGCACTCACAGCTCTCCAGGTGCAGCGCACACTCCTGCTCGTCCAGCGGGTACTTGGCCAGGTCCATGTCGCAGGCCACAGTGGAGGTGATCCTGTGTGGGCGGCACACCAGGGAGGCCCCGGGCATGAGGCCGGCTGTGAGCCGGCCGTGCCCACGCCCCACAGGCCGCGACGCCCCCGCGACGCCCGGAGCGGGGACTCCAGGGGCTGCGCCGGTGAGGTGCCTGCTTCCCGGCGGAAACGGAGAACTGGCCACTTTACAGGTGTTTGTGGGTCTTCCTTCAGGAACGAAGGACTGGATTTCATTCCCTTGCTTCATCCTGCCAAGCGCTGGACTTTGTGGCTGAGGCGGGGCCTAGGAGGCGGGTGCGGCCGGGTACCCGGCCCCACCCCGCCCGCGGATGGCCCCAGGCGTCCGTGCGGGCCACCAACAGCGGACCAGCGAGAGACGGCTGCCAACGTTCTGATTTTCCAAGAGAATTTAGATTCCCGTGGAACGCCCCCCCCCGCCGATTTTTAAAATGTTGGCAATTAATTCTATTTTTAAAAGGCATGTGTCAGAAAGCACATGTTCAAACACTCAAACACGCATGTTCACAGCCGTGTGGCTCAGTTGCCAGAAGGTGGACACAGTCCAGCATCCGCCCAAGAGGCGGGTCCAGCCAGGCAGCCAGCATCCTGGATGGGTGGATGCAGAAACCGGGGGGCCCATGTATGGGATGTTAGCCCAAAAAGGCATGAAGTTCTGACCAACGGGACCACGTGGCTGAACCCCAAAGACAATCCGCCGAGTGAAAGCAGGCAGACAGGAAAGGCCACGCGGCGTGTGACTCATTTTATACAAAGGGCGCAGAAGAGGCAAATCGGCAGAGACTGAAGGCGGCCCGGTGGTTTCGGGGGGGAGGAGGGCCACCACTGAAGGGGTACGGGGTCTGCTCTTGGGGGGATGAAATCTTCTGGACCCAGAGAGAGGTGCTGTTTGCACAATATTGTGAATGTGCTAAATGTCACTGAATTGTTCATACATACATGGCTCATCTCGCAGATCACAGCGAGTGGGGGCCGTGAGGGGGCGGAGGGATCGAGCCGAACGGAAAAAGGACTCATGGGCACGGACAACAGTGTGGGGACTGCTCGGGCGGGGGGCACGAGGGGACTAACGGAAAGAATGCAATAAAGGTTAAATAAAAAACAAATAAGCGGTTCATTTTATGGGATGTGAATTTCACCCCAATTCTTTCTTTAAAAGGCACTGCGTTGGCCAAAAGCTACGTCTGCCAGCGTCCGGGCAGCGACGCACGCCCTGCGCCGCACGCCCTGCGCCGCTGCTGGCTGTGCGAGGGGGTGGCGGCCGCCCCCCGCCCCGCCCCCCCCACGGGCCCCGGGTTCCCCGCGGCCGGCCAGGCTCACCGGATGCTGTACAGGATCACTCCGTCGGGCTGCAGCCGGATGAGCTTGTTCTCCACGGTCACGTCGTGGAACCAGGCGGACTTGGCGTTCACGATGAAGGTGTCTGGCAGCCAGAGCTTGTCCACGAAGCGGCTGTCCAGGCCCAGGGTCTCGTTGGTGTGGTTGTAGGACAGCCTGCTGTCCCGCCAGCTCTGGTGCAGGAACACCGTCATGGTGTACTCCTGCGGGGCGACCGGCGGGTCAGCGCGGCCCGGGCGCCGCCGCACAGGGCGGGGCGGGGGCGGCGGCACCTACCATGTTCGCCTCGGAAATGTGGTCGATGCTGGCCACCTCGATGGCGAGCGCCACGTTCACAGGGGGGCCTGCGAGGAAGGGGCAGGGCTGAGGCTGGGCCCCCGCCCCCGGCCGGCGGGACCGGGACAGCCGGGCGTTTTGGGGAGGGTGCCGTCTTGGCGCAAGTCCGCGGAGAGGCCTAGCGGGCCCCAGCTGTGTCCCCGGGGCCGGCGGCCCGCCCGGAGCCAGGGGACCCCCGCACCGCGGGCCCGGCGCCCCGGCCGCCCGCCCGCCTGCTCACCTCCGATGCCCGGCCGGAAGTTTCGGGCATAGCCCTCGATCAGGCCATCCAGGTTGGGGAGCCAGGATATCTCCAGGTTGGAGCCGACGTAGTCCCCGATGTCGTTCATCGCCCTGGGAGAGAGGGGTCCCCGGTCGCGGCGCGGCACTGGCATGGCACCTGGGCCCCTGCCTGAGGCTGCAGCTCCGTGCTGGGCACCTAGGCCGGGGGGGTGGGCGAGGGCGGGGGGGCCCCCTGAGAGCCCCACCAGGCCCGGAGTCACGCTGGGGGCAGGGGCCCAGGGAGCTGTAGGGCCCTCTGCTCAGCGCCTGCCCTGCCGGCTCCACCTGGGTGGAGGCTGCCAGGGGCCGGCAGGGCCCCCAGCCTGGCCTGAGCCCCCAGGCTCCCTCCACAGATGACCCGGGGGGCCGCCAGCCCCAGCCCCCCATGTCAGAGCCCCTCACAGGACAGGCCAAAGCGGCCCGACCAGGGCACGCAGCAGACTTGCAGCCTCCGAGGCGAGAGGTCCCTGCAGGAGGTGCCTTGGGAGGAAAGGTGCCACCAGGAGGCAGAGGCCCAGGGCCGCGGGGGGGGGGGGGGGGGCGCAGGGGAGGTCCTGGATGGCACGGGGGTGGGGCGGGGGCGGCGCAGCCCGCCTCCTGCTCTCTGTCCCCTCCCGACCCCAGAGGCCCCACCTCGCCCTGTGCTCCTGGAGCGTAGTCTGACTCCAGGGATGGGGGCGGCCTTAGCCCTGGTCCAGGACAAGCCCGCAGACTTCCTGGTCATCCTGCCCCCGCGTGGCAGACACCTGGCGTCCCCACGTGCCGGACAGCCGGAAGCACCGAACTCCCCAGAAGCAACCCCCGCTCACCCTCCTTCTGCTCACCTGACCTGGGGTGAGCGGCAGCCCCCAAAACTCACGTCCACCCAGAACCTCCGAACGGGGCCTTATTGGAAATGGGGGTCTGCTGCTCCCGTTCGTTACGACGAGGTCGCGCTGGGTTGGCGGGACCCGCCGCCGCCGCCCAAGTACGGGGGCTGAGGCGGAGGGATGCAGCCACGGGCCAGGCCGGAGGCGCCAGGAGCCGGGAGCGGCTCGGAGCGGGTTCTCCTCAGGGCCCGGGAAGGAGGCAGCCTGCCCGCGCCTTGGCCTGCGCTGGCAGCCTCCGGGGCTGGCAGAGGGTGTGTGTCTGCAGTCCTAAGCCCCCGGGTCCTTACAGCAGCCCCAGGGCACTCACGGCCCCTCCTCCAGCCCACGGGGGGCCGTGCACCGTGGGGAGGCAGGGCGCGTCCCCTGAGTCCCAGAGCCAGCGATGACGAGGGGCACCCAAGAATAACCGTCCTGTTATTCTCGGAATCGTTTCCATTCCAACAAGGTCACCTTGGGCCCCAAGCCTGGCCTGAGCCCACGGCGGATGCACGCAGGGCCAAGATCCGGACCCAGGGTGGCCGGGACCCCTGAGACCAGGGCGCCCTGTGTCTGGAGGCAGACCCACAGAGCCAGCCACGGCCTCTGGCCCAGGGGCCCCCTCCCGGCCCTGCGTCCGCTGCGTCCACTCCCGGGGCCCCACTGTGCCGCGGCCGCTCCTCCCCTCCCGATGGCAGGAGCCACCGCCCCGGCCCCCCAGCCTGCTGCCCCTGCCCCCCGGGACGGCCTCCTCGTCCTCTGCAGCCGGGCGCCCAGCTCCTGCTGCGCAGCGCCGGTCAGCGCAGCCAAGCCGAGGCCCCGCCCTGTGTGCAGCCGCCGCGTCCAGCCCCTTCCCCGTGTCCCACGCGGGCCCCCGCAGTCCACGCCCGGTCTCTCCGACTCCGGCTCCTCCGGAGCCAGCCAAGGCCTCCTCCGAGGCCCTGTCTCCGTCCCCACCCCTCCAGTGCACCACCTCCCCAGGGACGAGCTCGCCACGGTCCCACCCAGGTCCCCGCACGCCCCGGGCTCCGGACCAGGCTCCCATTTCAAAACCATGGTGCTGGCGAGAGAGTGCAAGTCTGCCCCGGTGGGGGGGCAGCGAGTAAACGGGGTGGCGCTCGGCTGGACACACCTGGGGCAGCGGGGGGCCTGGCGCAGGCGGGGGGCCCCCGGGGACCGCGCGATCCTGGAGCTGCGGCGGGCGGGGGCTCGAGGTCCGGGGCTGAGCCTGCAGCCGGGCCTCGGGGCGCAGCCGGCCTGGACGAGGGGGTCTCACCCCGTCCTCTCAGGGGCTCCGGAACCCCCGGGGCTGCCTCAGTTTAGGAAGCCCCAGCAGGCGGGGTGCCCAGGCCCCTTGTCTGTTTCACGTGAGGCCTTTAGAAGATGGTTGAGTTGGCGCCAGGAGCTTCTCAGCTGATGACACTTGAAGACCCCCAACCTACCCCTGGGGCCACCGTGGGGGTGGCCCGCCCGGGGCGAGGGCCAGCGCTGTGTAACAGCGCGTGAGACGGAATGAAAGGAGCCCTGGCCCCAGGCAGGCGCCATCAAACAGGCAAAGGAGGTCACCCTGAAGGTCGACGGAAAGGGATATGAAACAGGCTTTATTTTTGGACTGGCCCAGCTGCCATCCAGCGGCAGCGGCAGCGGCAGCCTGGAACGAGGTCGCCAGGAGACGCCGTCCTTCCCAGGCCCCAGGGCAGCGGCGCAGACGGGGACACCTCCCCCTCCGCGCCCTGCCCTCCACCACGCACCCACGCCGGGGTGCGGGGCCAGGCCGTGGCCAGCCCCCGCGTGAAGCTGGCCTGGAAGTGGCCAGACACCAGAGATCGCTTGGCCTGTGCCGCCTCTGGGGGCGAGGAGGGGACGGGCTCCCCCCGGTACCACTCGTCACCTAGGATGGGGGCCGGCCGTTTTCCAGCTGTGAAGGGGTGCGCGGGGCCGCGTGCCAAGGGGGGCGCGCTGCCTGCCGGTCTCGGTACTGGGGGCAGCTGGGGGTGGGCGTCGAGTACAGGAAGCTCAGCCTGGAGTAAGAACGGGGCGGCCCTGACCGGAGTCTTGGGAGGGGCTTCTGCCCGGGACGGCCCGGGCCCGCCATGGCGGCCCAAGGCAGGGGTTGCCTTCGGCGCGGTGCCCGGGCGCACAGAGGCCAGTGCGGGCTCCAACCCCTGGGGCAGGGTGGCCGCCACGAGGTGACAGGCGGCTCCTGCCCTGCGCTCCGGGTGTCAGCAGACCTCCCGCCCGCCCCTGCCTGCTGCGAACAAACCCGCCCCTGGCTCTTGGCTGTGCCCCCGGGGACAGGAAGGGACGGCGGGTTCGCCGAGCAAAGCAGGGGCCTCCTCCCTCCGAGGCCCCCCCACCACACACACACCAGCCCACGGAGCCCTGACAGCTCTGTTTTTAGAGCAGCACCAGCCGCGCTGGCACCTCAGTTACCAAGGCGAAGCGGAGCCCCGCGCGAACGCACGGGGAGCTGGCGAGGCGGGAGCTGCGGGCGCGGCCTCTCCAAGGAGACAAGGCGCCGGCGGCCGGCGCGGGCCTCCCGCTCGGCGTGCAGCTGGTGAGCTCGATGCCCATGCGCCAGTGGACCGGCAGGCACGGCTTGGACCAGCCCACCGACGCTGGCCCGCGCGTGGCCTCTCGTCCCACCGAGCTTCTCCCACCCGCACCCCTGCGCAGCGGCAGCCGGGACAGGTACCTCCTGTTAGTCCCACTGTGCCCCGCGCCATGGGGGTGAGGACCTGGACGCCTAGGGCGAGGGTGCGGTTCTTCTGCTCTCTGGGGTGAGGGCACCAAAGCTGATGGCAGGAAAGGAGGATGTCTGAAGGCTGCCCCCCGAGGCCCACAAAGCACAGGTGACATTCCTCACCTGACACCCGGGGCCAGAGGGAGGTTGCAGGTCAGAACATTCCAGACTTCAGACAGGCGGCATGGTGCACGTGCAGCCGCGGGGGGCCTGGAGAACACCCCAGCAGGGCATGCACGAATACGCCCCGAAATGGGACGGATAAAGACAAACTTGTCGGAGCCGGGCGAGCTTTCCTGCCAAGTGAGTTTTGCGGTCAAGCTTGGGCTACGAAATTGGGGTTCAGAGAGCCTTGGGTTTCAGATCGCATCGCCGCAGCCGTGGGCTGGGGCACCGACAGATCGGGCGCCCAGGGCATGCGGCTCCGGTCCCCTCCACCTACCCCTTCCTGGTCCTGTGAAGCGGGAAAGGAGGAAGCCAGAAGGCCCTGGGGCTTGAGGAAAAGGCAACACCCTCCCGAGGACGGGGCGTGTCGGCACAGCCAGGGTCACGGCACAGTGGCCTTCCCCCTGCCCGGCCCAGGCCTTGCTGCCCTGCCGCCGCCCCGCCAGCGAGGAACTCTGGCCACGGCCGCCTCTCCAGGTGCGCGCCACCTGAGCGCGTACAGCCCCGCGCAGGCCGGTGGTCAGTCACCCCCGGCTCTGAAGTCTTTGACATCCGTTGGCTGACCATGGCACCTGGACACGGTGGGGGGCGGGGGAAGGAGGCGGCGGGAGGGTCTGTTTCTGCTCTGGTTCTTCTGCAGAGACCTTGCACCAAAAGGCCCCTCACAAAAGGTGCCCGTGGACGGTGGCCCAGCAAGGAGGCGAGCAAGCCCCGACCGTGCTGGTCCCTGGAAGCCAGCGGGAGGGAGCCCTGGCCTGGGGGGCCTTTGCTCTTGCCCTCACCCTTCTCTGGGAGACAGGGCCCTCATTCTGCCTGACTGTCAGGAAAAAAACCCGTGTTTCCAGCTGACAGGGAACCTGCCTGGCTCCCACCTGCGTGTTCCCGAGCTCGGAGGCTGCCCGATGAAAGGGCCCCTGAGAGGACACCCCGCGTCCTGGCCGCACGCCCGCAGCACTCCGGCGGCCGGGGTCGGGGGGTGGGGAGGCGGCGCCTTCCCGTCCGCCCAGACCTGCCCCGGGACACAGGCACCCGCGCAGCTCGGCTCCCGCGGAGCCTCCCCCGTTCTCAGGTCCTTTCTTCCTGCCCGCGCAGCGAGGCGCGTAGCCCGCGCGGGGAAGGGCGCTCGCTAGCCAGGCGCCGGCCAAGTGACGCCCGGGCTTGGCCGGGCAAAACTGGGAGCCGCGCCGACCCTTGTCCCGCCCCGCACCGCCGGTTCAGCACCGGGACAGCGGACAGCGCCCGGGGCGGTGGCGGAACAGGGTGCAGAGAGCGGCGCGGGAGCGCGGAGAGGGCGCGGGGCCGTCCTGGGAAAGGTGGGATCAGACAAGGGGGTGCCGGAGGGGGCGAGACAGGGCAAACTCGGGGTGGGGGCCGACACAAGGGGAACCGGGGGCGAGGACCGGCATGGGAGAATGGGGGGCGCACACGGGGAACGGGGGCGGTGCGTGGGGGCGGATGCGGAGGCAGCCGGGCGCGCAGACGGGGGTGACCGGGGTTCGCGCCGCTCCGTCCCCGCAGCCCGGTCTCGGCGCCGGCGCGCGCGGACCCGGGCCGCTCACCTGGTGCCGCGGGGCCGCTGCGCGCAGAGCAGGAGGAGCGGGGGCAGCAGCCAGGCCAGCGCGTCCATGGCCCCCGGCCGCTCGGGCTGGACGCGCGCGGCGCCAGGGTCCGGCGGGTCTCGGGCGCTCGCGAAGTTGCTTCTCCGGCGGCCGCGGCGGAGGCACAGGCGGGCGGGAGCGTGAGGGCGCTCGCGCGGGCGCGGGCGCGAGGGCGGGGAGCGCGGAGCTGGGAGCCGCCCCGCCCCGAACCCTGCCGCCCCGCCACCTGCCGCCCCGGCCGGCCGCCCCCGAGCCGTGGGCACCGCCCCCTCCGGCTCCAGCGGCCCCGCCCGGCCCAGCCCCTCCCCGGGGCGGGCGTGCTCCCGGCCCGGGGTCCGGCGCAATCCGTCCCACCACTGCGGGTCTAGCCGGCGCTAACGGGAACGTCCGCGCGTCGGCCCGGGAGGCGACAGGCGCAGGACCCTCGGGGACGTGGTCTCTGGCTGCCGGGTTAGGCGCCTTCGGACCGACGGAAGCGCAGAACCTTGTCCCCGAAGCGGAGTTTGCCCGGGGGGGGGGGCGCGGGGAGGCTGTTCATGGGGCTCAGAGCCAGAGAAGCTGGTTGGGGCGCCATGGGGAGGGAGCCAGCGCTCCCGCAGCAGTCGCCTTCTCCTAGGGGGGCCCCTCCAAAACCCTCACGCGGAGCAGAGCACTGGCCAGGGAGCAGCGCTGCCCACGGTGGCTGGGGGGCCAGTGGCAGAGAAGGGGGTGGGTGCAGGTGCCCTGCCACGCACCGCCATTCTGCGGTCCCGAGCCTGCTCTGGCCGTGGGTCAGGTGACTCCCTGGCCAGGCACCAGGCTCCAGTACACCTGTCCCCAGCCCTGGGCAGGGCACCGGGTGCTTGGGCTCCAGCCACGATGGCATCTGCCCTCCACATCCCCCAAAATGCTGAGAAAGTCAAGGCCCGCCACATTTTTGATTTTATAGAATTCCTCAGCAGTTTCCAAAAAAAGCTGATCACTAACTTCAGGCATTTATCACTTCTGGGCTCGATATCAGCTGTCACCAGAAAGTGCATTTCTCGTGGGAACACCTGAAATGGGCAGCTTCGTCCTGCGGGGGTCACGGCCTGGCCAAGTGGGAGCGGGCAGGGGGAAGCGTAGGCCAGGCGATGCTGCCAGGGTTTGCAGCCCGATCCTGACAGCCAGGCCTGGAGGAAGGCCGGACCCAGCCCTCGGCCCCGAAGCCAGGAACGGGCTCCGGGAAAGCCGGTCCAGGCTCAGCAGAAATGCCTCCCTCCAAGGCCCCCCAGCCCCTGCGGACATGGGCCCTTGCGGTGCAGAAGCTCTGAGCCCCAGGTGTCCACCCGCTGCACGGCTGGGCGCACGCCTGGGCGAGCCTGTGGCCTTGTGGCCTCCTCCCCACTCGCCCGTCTGCGTGGGTTGCTGGGAGAGCTAAGGAGTCAGTTCACAGGAAACACACACACACACACACACACACACACACACAATGCTCAGAGCAGGGCCTGGCTCGGAGCAAGCGCTGTGAGTGATTATTGTATTATTACTATTTTTAATCCTCACCCGAGGATATGTTTTTATTGATTTTTAGAGAGAGAGGAGAGGGAAAGAGAGAGGTAAACATACATACATACACACACACACACACACACACACACGAGAGAGAGAGAGAGAGAAATATCAATTGGCTACCCCCCAAATACGTCATAACTAGGGATCGAACCTGCGACCCTTCGGTGTCGGGAATGACATTTCAGCCAGCTGAGCCCCGCAGCCGGGGCCACGAGGGTTATTCTTATTGTCTACCCCTCCCCCGCAGATCATGGCTGTTCACAGTGTCGCCTGTGTCTAAGCCTCTGGCATGTGCTGGGTGCGTAGCACCCATGGGAAAACACACAGGGTCCGTCTCCGAAGCCCGGAAGCACTGTGGCCCGCAGCCCTTGATGGCTGTGGCCGTGCAGACCGCTCCTTCCCGAGCTGCGGGCCCAGGCGGGAGGCCAGGTCTCGGCTGGGCCCGGTGTCGACCTGGGGACCCTCTCGGTGCTGAAAGGAGTGTCACAGTGAACAGCTGCGGTGCCAGGAGAGACACTTGACATCAAATTGCCACCTCTTCCTCGCATCCTGGAGACGAGCACTCTAAAACCCGAGAAGAGAAAGAAGCGAAGAAGCGGCCTGCAGACCCCTGAGCCCGGCGGGGTTGGGGGCGGTGGGGGGTGGTCCCAGCAGCAGCCCTCTCTCCCGACACCAGGGAAGCGCCCCGGCCTTCGATCACAGGGCGCAACCCCTCCCCCAGAGCTTGCACGCTCCCAGTTCCTGTGAGTGCGGCAGGCCTCTAACCGGTTTAATTTGGGTCTAGAGAAGGGACACTCTCATCGTTCCTTCTTCAAGGTTTTTGCGAATGAGTTTGTGGCACGTCTGGGCTTGTCACATTCCACTGACATCAGCCCCACGGAGACTCATCGCTGGAGCAGGCCTTGCGCCCCCGCCGGCCGGGAGGCCCAGTCCTCGGGTGGCCAAGGGCCCGGCGGCGGCCCCAGCCGTGAGGGTCAGGGCTGGCTTCCCGGGCAGAGCGGCCTGCGTGCCAGCTCCGGCTGCTGCGAGGCCTCCTCCAAGGCAGTGCTTCCCGGCTTTGTTGATTCATTTGCAAACGGAGGGCGTGAGGGGGGCGGTTGGTTGCCTGGCATCGCTGCCCCGAGACTGACTCCAAAGAATGCGTTTCCTTCCTAATGATAACAGGTCGCGTTCTCTGGAAGCCACAGTCTAACTTGCAGATGCTTAGACCACCTCCCTTCCCTGGAAAATACTGTAGGACATTCTGTGTATTCTCGCCATTTCTGGTGTTTGGTGGGGAAGGAACCCCGCCCTCCAAGGTCCTTCGACTTTGGCGGAAACTTTGAAATCAATAACAAGCTGGGTGTCTGCGGGGGAAGGCTCCCGGGGCAGGGCGTGCGGACAACCCCCGCCTCGTCCTGGCCCTGGGGACAGCGCAGGACAGTGATGACCGAGAATCCCCGGAGTCCTCGGCAGCCAGCGAGGGCACTAAGTGAGCCGCTCGCCCTGCGCTGTCTCCCGTGTTGGCCCCGTGATCGGGGCGCCCACGCCGCCCACCGGCATGGCCAGCTCGTGCCCCCCGTGCCCACGGCTCCTTCAGCAGACAGGGTCCTCCCCTCTGATCAGACCCGGTGTGTATCTGACTAGGTGACACTGTAGCTTGTCCTGACTTACTAGCCGAAGGTGGCTTCCCAGTCAGGCAGGACCCATGCAGAGCCCTCGGGCTCCGGGCGCAAGGCAGCGGCTGGCAGCTTGTGCAGCGCAGGCAGGTGTCATGCTCCCCGTATGGCGCTCAGCGGGAGTCATGCACTTGGCCGCGGGGTGGGGGGTGGGGGGAAGGGGGGAAGCTGCAGCCACAACAACACAGCCCCGGCGGACAACGCCGGGCGACATCCACAAAGCCACAGATGTCAGGTCTGCTGGCCCTCTTGGCTCCCGAGACCATCGGCCGGCAGCCTCTCTGCGTTTTTCTCTGGGTAAGCACTTTGCCAGGCGCTCGCAGCGTGTGGGAAGGGATGGCAGTGAGTCCGGGGCTGGGCGGAGGGCTGGCCGCAGTCCACCCAGGCAGCAGGATGAGCCCCGGGCGGCCGGGGTGAGTCATAGGGAGCTGGGAGGGGAGACTGTGCTGGCTAAATTTAAAATCCTGGCCTGCTCTGTTTGTGAGGTTGCTTTATTATTTTCCTGGGGAAATGTACCAAATAGAGACTGTGGCAGTGACACAGAAAAGCATTTTCTTGAGCTTAGAGTATAATTATTAATCCTATGATTTTCAGATGGAATCCATTCATTTGGAGCGGCGGAAGAAACTTGGCAGGGAGGATCCAACGCGAGTGCTTTCCAGCAGCCTGAGATCGGTGGGCTGTGTAAGCAAAGGAGGCAATTCACTGGGAAACAGGCTTAGTTTTGTTGCTGTTTTTAGTAACCAGGCCCCTGAGAGCCCCTACACTTGGCCACCAGGAGGATTTTTTTCTGCGTGAGTTAACTCGATGTCCAAGCACAACTGCTCGCGGTTACTGCGGCGGCGTCAGAACTCTGCCCTCATATCTTATGTTTTTTCAAGTGGCAGTTTGAATTATTTCATGGGATAAAAAATGTTACACACGTTAACAATTCCTGACAAAAAGGCTGTCAATCAAGTGAGAAAAACATCCTCCTTTAGACGCAGCCACTGAATGTCAGCCACCAGCTCCCACAGAAGGCTGCGGGCGGGCAGGACGGGCTGCCTCTCCGCGGAGGACCCCAGGGCCCCTCGGCCTCTCTCTGGTCCCGAGGCGGATCCTCGTTGATGCGGGAGGTTGAAGAGAGGGGAGCAGAGTTGCCGTCACCTTTGAACACGTTCATTAAACTTCTTCGAGAAAGGCCCATACGCAGATCAAAATTCACCTAACAGATGCGTACGTAATGATCCACCCTGTGTGTGCCAAGTATTGATCTCTAGTGGTTGGGTGTGAATAGGACGTCAGGGGTCCCCGCCAGCCTTGGGCTCACGTCTAGGTGAGAACGGGGACAATCAGTGAGTAAACAAAGAAGAGACGTTGCTTCCAGTGTAACACATGCTGTGCAGGAATTGAAGCAAGACAGACACAGTCCAGAGAGACTGCATTGGGGGGCACTTAGGGCGCCCCTGAAGATCTTCCCGTGAGCTAACCTGTGAGCTGATGCTTGAACTACACCTCGCCGCACTGGGGAAAACGCCAGCCTCGGGCGGCCCAGGTGTGTCCCAGGCGGAGGAGGAACGGGCAAAGGCCGGGGGCAGGAAGCGGCTGGCAAGTTCAAGCGGAAGCACGTGCCCTGGCCCCTGCGGGCGGCGGCGTAGGCCAGCAGACCGCGCCAGACCCTGCGCCCCCCGGAGGGTCGCAGCCTGGAGTCTGGGTTTTATTTTACTTTATTTTTAATCAGTGGTATTGAGATGTAATTGACATACAATAAAATCCACCTGTTGTGAGTCTGCAGTTTGTTGGGGTGGGTGCCACGGTGGGGGGCTGTACAGCCGCCATCACAGCGTGGCATTGCCCGTCTCCCCGCTCCCTGCCTCTTGGC